GTATAGCTGCGTTGATTCCCAGATTGACTGTGGTAAATATTGAATCTATATATCATATTATATTGTCCATTTCTCTTTCATTTTTTTTTAATTGCTTCCAATCGATTACAGGCGCGTTTTGTACCTTTCTTATATCGTGCATGTGTACGCTCCCTGATGCTGCCACTCATATTGGAATTACCAATCTTCCAGATTCCATCGAGGTACTAACATATCATAGAAGAATATTTCAAAACATTTATCAAAGAACCAAAAGGTAACATGTGGATTATTTACAATATTCTTCATACGACGCTTTACAAAATCTGAATCTTCCCTGTCATCTGGCATTAATTGATGGAGTTCAGGCTAGTGAAAATCGGCTGCGCTAAAGGTGAAAAATATCAGTCCTTGATGACCCATCTGCTTAACTATATCTGATAACTCATAATATCTAGCCATCCAAAACTGTCTCGAACCACGTAACCCTTCACCATATCTCATTATCTGGTCTGCTATTCGATTGTCTCCATTACTAATCATTTCCTGGATGTCTGCAACATCAAGTTGCCTTTCGCTTAAGTGCTAACTAACGTAAACCTTTCCTTCTTGTAAAACCCTCTATCTCATTGTAAAGTTTAAAGCAAAATACCTTCACCTGAAATGTCTTGCAAACCTTCCATCTTTATACTACAACAAATGCTTAAAATATTCTGCCAGTTTAATGTTCTGAGACCATTCAGAATGAAGATCACTACATCCGTATGGATAAAGGGTTGGAAATGCTCTTGCTATATATTTGGGTGTACTAAATTCATAGACAGAAATGCCTTCGATCTCTGGCTAAATCAAAGGAGAATCGTTGCTTTACATACAATTAAGCGTATTGTTAATGGCATCATCTTCACGCTGTGTTGGAGGCAGAGATGGTATGAACGAACGTGATATTTGTTCATTTTCATTTCCTTTATCGTCTGATATATCGTCTGTTGTTTCATCAGAAACCTGCTTAAGTTGACTACTGATAGATCCGTTACAGGTAACGATTAGATAATTTCATTATCAATAATTATGTTTTTATAGTAAATGTTATTTTTTTTAACCAAAATAGGCTCTAGCAATTTTTTCGTGATGTACAATGAAATCCCTAAAACCTGCTGGATCATTTGCTGATTGCCGTCGCATCAAGAGTATTTCTAATGATGATGGATATCGTAGAAGCCGATTTGTGAATTCTTGTATGTCTTGGAGGAAGTTTATGACATTTCCCCTGTAGGAATTTTAACCTTCTTGGAGTCAATATACTGACATTACCGTGAAAACTTGGGCGATTAACATCTCTTCGATCTCTGTAAGACCTTTTAATTCTTCTGGTACGTCTCCAGGATCTATATTGTTTTTGCTTAAAAACTTCTTTGGTGATTTCTTTTTTGTATAGCAATGCCAGTACATTTGCATGACAATTGTCATTGACGGAATTCGCTCGTTACATACGGGACAAAATTTATACCTAATGTTAGCTATTTTATTGCAGAATTTCTGCAATAAACTATGGTCTTCTTCGCTAATAGTTGTGGCTGAGAGTGGTCTGTCATTTATGGGTGAGTCATCTCTACTTTGATTTCGCGCTGCAGATACATTACAGATTTGTAGGTTTCAAAGGCGTACTTCACGTTTACGCTCATTCTTAAATTCAAGATGAATCTTACGTTCCTCAGTGGTCTCATCTGAACTTTTTTCCATTCTTCGTTCTCGCATGCTTGTAAGCCTGTCCTCACGATCTTTTGATGATTTATCTACTCATTTTTTCCATTTTCTTTCCTGATCACATGCAAGACGTTCTTCGCATTATTCATTTGTTTTATCGTCTTTTTCTTTATACTTTCGAAAGGTCTCAGGATTAGTGGGTATATTGCTTATTTTTTTATATCAAACTTTGATTTTAAGAATTTTATTATATGTAATCCGATCTTATTATTGAAAGTAACCTGATTTTATTAATTATTAGTATAATATTATCTATTATTATATTAGGAAATTAGAAAAAAAATCAAATTATATAGTTTTGGGTTGGTAAGATTCTTGTTTCAGATCGATTTTATATTTAGATATAATTGAGACTTTTATTATATAAATTTTTTTTTTTACAAGACCAATTGTGATAGATAACAAATAAATTTATAAACTGATATGAACATAATTAAAAAGCATTAATATTGTTACATGTGCATTATTTTTTAATTAAAGCGAAATGATATTTATTTAATATACTTTTGTAGTCTATTTTATTAAGAACTTGTTTGTGTTATATTTTCTAATAGTTTATTTTATTAAGGTTTTTTATTTTATGTTACATTTTCTAATAGTTGGCTATTATAATTAATAAAACTAATTAATTAGACACGTTAATTAACTTGATTGTGTTACATTTTTTAATAGACATTTTGAGTTACTTTAGTTAGAATTTCGTTCTAGACTTAATAACGGTTTACCATTTTTAATATATATAGTTAATTACATTTTAACATATTAATTTTAGTAATAAAATTATATACTTATTTGCTATTTGCTCAAAGATTAATGATTTTTGCAAAATAACATGAAAAAAAACTACAAAATGAACATAAAATTATATATATAAGGATAAGTGTATATATATAAAAAGTAATAAATGCAATAGTTCTAATAAATATTAAAAAGTAATTAATTTTTTAGAAAAAGGCTGTGATTGTAATTGTTCTTTAAGAATTCCTAAGGAACAGTTTGCAAAATTAAAAAATCCTTTCAAGCACTATTTAAATCTAAATAAGATATATTTTTAATAGTACAGATTAAAATCATGGATGGTGAGTTAATAAGCACTATCAAATACCTTAAAAAGAAAACTAAATCTAATAAAAGAACTTTCTATCATTGAGATCACAATTTACTTCTTTGTCAAAAAACTTATCTTAATATGTTGGAAATTGGTAGAACTTATTTTGAAAACATTAGAAGTCATCTGATAAATAATGGTCTTTTAACAAGAGTTCATAGTAACATTAAAAGAATGCCTCAATGGAAAACTAAAATAATAATTAATAGAAATATTGCAGAAGTAGTAAAGAATTTTCTAGAAAATTATGCAGAGTCTATTGATTACCAAATCCAGAAAGAAGTATCAATAGAATAACTCAATTAATTGTATTCTTATCAGCTAAAATGAGTTATAAATTAATACATAAAGATTTTCTTGCTGGTTTAGAAAAAGGTAATAATTTGAAATCCTTAAAATATGATGTTTTTAAAAAATTATAATATCAATCGACATAAAGATTCAAATTATAAGTCCTAGGATTGATCTATATGATACTTGTTAATATTTTAGAGATGATCTACATTATAATACTCATCAAGAGGGAGAAGCTAAAGATTTGCTCAAAAGATTTAAAAAACATTTATCCAAGGCCAAAGTAGAAAGAAATTATTATAATAAAAAATACCAAATTAGCAAAAGAATAAAGAAAATTAGTTAATCAATATTATTCAAGAGTAAACATAATATTACAGTATTAATGTCACTATTCATTATAGTTATAATTAAGTCCAAATATTTATATAATACATTTAGATCAATAAATAAGTAAATTTATTATCTTAGTCTATATAAAGTTCATTTATTTGGTATTCAAGATAAGGTAGTAAGGAAGTAAATTAATTATATTCTCAATGAAGGTGAAATTATAGAAAAAGGATCTAATAAAACTCTTAATATAATTTTGATAGAATTAAGAAATTAAATAAAGGAGAGAAGCATTTAAAGATTATTTGTGATAATGCTGGAAGACAAAATAAAAATAATATAACAATTTGATTTTATTTGTATCTAATAATATATGATTATTATAAAAGTATTGAATTAAATTTTATAATTCCAGAATATATCAAATTCAAATGTGATAGTGACTTTGATTTAATAAAAAAACTCTATAGAAAACAAAAGTAGATTGTTTGGATCATGTGATTGAGATAATAAAAAAGTCTAGTCCAGCAGGATTAAATAAAGTTTAATATTATAAAGGTGGAAAGGGTTTTCTATACTTGAATATCAAATTCATTTTTGAAATTTATTTTAAGAAATTATCAAATATACAGAAATATCAACATTTTCTTTTTGAAGCATCTAATCTTAATGTGATCAAAGTTCAAGAAGTTACTAATGGATCTTTTGCTGAATTTAATTTATTAAAAACTAAAAAAGCAGATATTTTTGAAGAAATTAGAGTTTTATTTATTTTAGTATTAATACCACTTCCTTTGAATTACAAAAGGCAAAAATACCTTTATAATAATATTTGTCTATTTGTAAAAGATGAGTTTAAAAATATCACTTGTCCTAAACTAGCATAAAATATAATTGAATAATTTTTATATTAAATAAAAAATTGTTAAATGATATAATTAACTCTTATGTTTCTTAATTTTTATTATTTTAATAACTAAAATACTAGAAGATACAATAATATTTCACAATTAACCATTTAGGAAATTTTCTCTTTCTTATTCTTGTTAAGTTAGTTTTCTAATTCAACTCTAAGAGTTTTATTTCATTTTTAATAATAAGCCTCTGGATCTCTTATTTTTTAGCAATATGTTCATCTTTTATAGTATCTAGAAATTGATGTTTCTTTAAGGTCTAAATTATCTCCATCATTTTTGTAATGTGAATCTAGGAAAAAGTAGTATTATAAATTCAGAAGCAGAATAAGTTTGGCTATAATTTGAAGATATTTCTGCTTCTTCTTTTTATAATTGTGTGACCTTTTTATTAAGTTCACATTTAATAGTAAAATTACTAACAAATAATGCAGATTCTATTTTTTGTATAACTTCTTAATAGACTTTTCTAATTTGATTTCAAGTTTCTTGATCTACAGCATTAATAAATAATTTTTGGTAGAAATGGTTATATTTCCTATTTTAATGTGTAATTTGGCAATAATATTACTCTTTTCTGTAATGATTGTATTGTCATTTATTACTTAAAAAAGTTTTTTTGCATCTTCAGCTATGACAATACTTTTTTCCAATACATTTTTAATTTCTAAACTTCCATAATTCTTCTTATATTTAGGAACTACTCGCATATAAAAATGGGGTAGATTTTGAGTGCTAATTGGTAATATTGATATATTAACTTAATAGCCTGTTGGATTATAAGCCTTATCAACTTTTTTACAACATCCCTAAGCACAAGTAAAATATCTGATCATTCTTTTCTAGTTATTTCTTTAAATTTTTCTGCATGACATTTGATATACAGTGCTACATAACCTTTAGAGTTTTGTCTTAAAACTTAAAACTACACCAATATTTATATACTTTGAGTCAGAGACTTGAGATTTAAGCATTCCTTTTTTTTGTACTTGCATTTTGTCATATATATGGTAAACTATTTCATTCCCTTTAGCACTTTTTGAACAAATATAGCTGGAAGTGTTATCATCTTTTTAAGTAAAATGATCATTTTGTTTACCTTTTGCAATTTGTTAATTATAATTATGATATTGAGAATATTTATGTCTTTGATTGTCTTTATAAGTGGTAACATCTTAATTCAGCATGATTTTGCATTAAGGATATCAAATAGTTATTCTATCTCACCTTTTATTCTCTTTTTTATTAATAATTCTTGTTCTGAAAGGCCAGTCAAATTTTTTTTTATTTTTAACTTTTTGTAAAGTTTTTCTAAAGATTTTCTTTTTATTTCTTTCTCAAAAGTAGTTTTTTCATCTAATTCTTTTTGAATTAAGTTTTCAGAGCAATCTCAACAACAAAATTCTTTATATTCTTTATTTTTTTCATCTCATCAATTAATTATTAATCCTTCTTTAGTTTAGTTACAGTTAAACCATTCTTTTTACTCATAATTACTTTTAATATGATAAAATTTTAAGTAAAAAAATAGGTTTTAATCACAAAAAAAGAAAAGTTATAGTTGGAATGATAATAATTTTGCATTAGGTTTTTTTGCTCAAAGATTTCAGTCTTTTATTTCATAATAACATACTTTCATTTTATTTCTTTTTTTAATATTTAATATTTTTCTTTTTTCTTGGTAAATTTCATAGGTAATCCTTTCTTTTCTTAGATAAGCTTCTAGCATCTAAGCATCATTTATTTTGAAAATATAAGAGACAATTTTTTCACTTTGTTCCTTTTTTAAAATACTTCTGATAATACTATAATTCTTTAGTTTTATGGTAAACCTAATGTAAATTATCTTTATATTAATTATTTTTATATAGAAGTAGTTCTATATATTACTTAAGATAACAAATAGAAGATTTCAATAATCACATTACTAAGTTTTGATCTTTGAAATTCTTGGTAACATCAAAGTTTACTTTATTTGATTTGATTGCAACATGTCTTATATTATAAATCATATGATTTATAATTTAATCTTAATAGTAACTGATCTATAAATTTGAAAGTATATTCCTATAATTTAGAAAATTGAATAATCTTATTTTTTATATTCTAGCATTAATTTTTCATAAATTGGAGATTTAATGACAAACCCTTATTCAATTATTTTACTTAAAGGATTATAATTACTTATTAAATTAATAATTTAGTTGTTAATCAACTATACTTCAAATCTACTGGTTCTCTAAATAAAATTATATAACATTTATGATTAAATCTGTTTAAAATTTTACAAATTTTTTCTAATAATTATTTGTATGAAGACATTGTGAAAGTTTAAAAAAAGGAAAATAAATGGTTAAAAAATATGATTTATATATAAAAAAATGACAATTCATCATTTGCAATAATAATAATATATACTAATTAACTACTTATCAATTAAAAGAGAGTATAAGTTACTTAGAGATCTGAATCTTATTGAGAAATAACAAAATGTTTATTATTAACTAAATTCATAAGAAAATCAAAACTGCAGTTATTATTAAAACAAAAATATTTGACAGATAAACAGCTTACATATATTTTTAATATGATTATTCTTCTATACATTAAATATAAATCATAATTCATACTTTTATCAGAATAACATTATTCAAGAATAGTTAACACTTATATGACTTTCATAAAAAAAATTACAGCTCTCAAGAAAAACTTCTTCGTCTTTATTTCTCTCAAATTACTTTTACAATATTATGCCTTTTTATCAATATCTTATATAAAATTTTAATAATGCTCTCTTATAGATGACTAATAAAACTGACTTATTAGATATCTTATTTATCATCTATATAAAATATCTGCAAAATAAAGAATAGTTATATAAAAGCCTTTTAGCCTTCTGGCTATATACTACAAATAATAATAATGATAACTGGCTTTCTTCTGTACTCAGTGTTCTTAAAAAGTTACAAATCTCTATTAATATTTTACATCAATATTAATATACAATTACTATAAGAAGTATTTCAATAATTAATTTTATCAAATTAATTTATAGAACACATACCAAGAACCTAAGAAATTGTTTCATTTTTTTTATTAAACAATTGGTCAACTATATGAGTATATATATATTTAAATTAATGCTCTGAACGGTTCAGTTCGGTCTGGATTATAGGCCAATCCGAAACCGATCTGAAAATTTCAGTTCGGTTCAGTTCAGATTATAAATCCTAAAAATGCCAATCCAAAACCGAACTGAACCGTAAACCGGTAAAAATCTGAACTGAACTGAAAATTTCGGATTAATCCGAAATTTCAGATCGTTTGGAACAATCCTTTTATTGTTCTTTTGGAACGATAACTTCAATCGTTTCAAATGAACAATTTTCTTATCGTTCGTTTGGAACGATAACTTTAATCGTTCCAAATGAATGATTTTTTTATCATTCATTTAGAACGATAAACTTCAATCATTTCAAACGAACGATTCTTTTATCGTTCGTTTGGAATGATAATTTAATCGTTCTAATCGAACGATTCTTTTATCGTTCGTTTAGAATGATAATTTCAATCGTTCTAAATGAACAATTTTCTTATCGTTCGTTTAGAACGATAACTTCAATCGTTCCAAATAAACGATTTTTTTTATCGTTAGTTTGGAACGATAACTTCAATCATTCCAATTGAACGATTCTTTTATCGTTAGTTTGGAACGATAACTTCAATCGTTCCAATCAAACGATTCTTTTATTGTTTGTTTAGAACGATAATTTAATCGTTCCAATCAAACGATTTTTTTATCGTTCATTTGGAACGATAATTTAATCATTTCAATCAAATGATTTTTTTATCATTCATTTGGAATGATAATTTAATCGTTCCAAATGAACGATTTTTTTATCGTTCGTTTGGAACGATAACTTCAATCGTTCCAAACGAACGATTCTTTTATTATTCTTTTGGAACGATAATTTGATCGTTCCAATTGAACGATTTTCTTATCGTTCGTTTGGAACGATAACTTCAATCGTTCCAAATGAATGATTCTTTTATCGTTCGTTTAGAACGATAATTTGATCGTTCCAATCGAACGATTTTCTTATCATTCGTTTAGAACAATAATTTAATCGTTCCAAATGAACGATTTTTTTATCGTTCATTTGGAATGATAACTTTAATCGTTCTAAATGAACAATTTTTTTATCATTTGTTTGAAACGATAACTTCAATCATTCCAAACGAACGATTCTTTTATTGTTCGTTTGGAACAATAATTTGATTGTTCCAATCGAACGATTTTTTTATCGTTCGTTTAGAACGATAACTTCAATCGTTCCAAATGAACGATTTTTTTATCGTTCATTTAGAACGATAATTTTATCGTTTCAAACGATCTAAAATTTCAGATTAATCCGAAATTTTCAGTTCAGTTCAGATTTTTTTCGGTTCGGATTAGATTTATAATCTGAAAAAAATCTGAACTGAACCGAAAATTTTCAGATTGAAATTTTTGCAATCCAAAACTGAACCGAAGTTGATCTGAACTGAAAATTTTCAGATTAATCCGAACCGTTCAGAGCTTTAATTTAAATATAAGGATCTCTTCAATATAACTTTTTAAAACATAATATTTGCTCGAATATTAAAATGGTTTACTATCATAGAATAATATCTTCAACTGTCTTCAGACAGATTTATATCTCACTCATATCATTATAATCAATTTTATAGATATAATCTTTATCAGAATAACCTTTCTTCCAGCCAAAAATCATATATTGTAGGATAGTTCAACTTTATTAACAATTTTATTATTAGAAAAATAATTCAAGTAGAATAGAATTTGATCTATCTTAAATATTATACTTATGATAAAGATCCTGATTATAATACTAGGCTAACTTTATATTTTCATTATCCTTTTCATCAAAAATTAGCGGCTGATTCAAATAATTTAACTGTTATTTTACACTTCTTTAAACAAATTGTGCTGGCTTAATTACTATTAATAATCTTAAAGTTTCAATGATTAAAGTTAAAGTGCATATAAACAATTTCTATAATAATAAAGTAGATGCTTTTATATGAAATTATTTAGATATTATAGCCTTCATATTTAATATTTTCGCAACTCTTAGAAGTTTTTACACTTATGATAGACTTTTTATCCTTATTTCAATCAGACAATTTATAAAAGACATCTACCAGCACAAATACTTGCAACAATTTCTCAAACTTCATATTGTTTCTAAACACTAATGTTTATTTTAACCCCATTAGTTTATTACATCCTTTTGTCTAAATAACAATATTATACAATATACCTTATATCAATAATAAAGAAAAAAAATACTAATAACTCCTTAAAATGTTTCCTATAACAGAAATCCTCAAAATTAGTTACCTATCTTTATTTTCATTCTTATTATTGTATCCTAAGTATAATATTACTAATAAAGATTTCTACCATGTATAGCTAGAGTTCTGAATGAGTCGAGTTGAGTTGAGTTTAAAGATTAACTCTATTCAACTCTCTTTTTTCGAGTCGAGTCAAGTCAAATTTATTTTATAAAATCTTTCAATTTGATTTGATTCGAGTTATATAAATTTTAAACTCGACTTAATTTGACTTAACTCGATTTTAACTCAATTCAATTTTGAAAAAAAATAATAAAAAAAAATGAAAAGATCAGGGAGAAGAGGGGGAAGAAAGCGAACGATTCATTATCATTCTTCTTGAACGATTTTTTTTATTGTTCAAGTCGAATAATTAGTTATCATTCTTCTTAAACAATTTTTTTTTATCGTTCAAGTTGAATGATTAGTTATTATTCTTCTTGAATAATTGCTTTTATCGTTTAAGTTGAATAATTAGTTATCGTTCTTCTTGAATGATTGTTTTTATCATTTAAGTTGAATGATTAGTTATCATTCTTCTTAAACAATTGCTTTATCGTTCAAGTTGAATGATTAGTTATCGTTCTTCTTAAATGAT